GGATGTTTGCGCTACCGCATACATTGGGGCCCATCAAGCTTCTGGCCTATCTTGTGGAAGCCCTTTGATTTCCGGGGGCAGACCTTTTCGAACGGTCAGTTTTCTTGTAGGGTAGCTCCTCTTTGAATTGTCGTTGCCACATTGTTTCAGACCTGTTTCAGACCTGTTTCAGGCCCGCGAAAATGAATGCATGGTGTTGGTGTATCCGCGTGTGCTCTTGGGTCCTGCCCTCAGAAGCCTCCCAACGGGCTTGACGCTGTAGAAGACATGGGGGCGGGATGATGTGTATCTACACCAATCAACCTATCTATCTATCTATCGATCTATCTATCTATCTATCTGTCTCAATCAATATATTTTTTCATTTTACATATTTATTTAAAGATAAATATATATAAATGTTTTTCAATATTTTTCAGTTTAAATATATTCATCCACTACCGTGCAACCAATCAACTCGGTCAGCATTTCGAATTCAGTGCCTTTTGGAAAGCAATTCGGAACGCTGAATTGCGGCCGCAATGGCACCGAATTACAGAAGCTTTTACAAATTATCCACCTTTTATGTCATGGTTGTACTAGAAAGATGCTATGGTGGAATTGCATGAAGAAGAAGAAGAAGAAGAATGAGAAGAATAATGCCATGTAGACTGTCATGTCTCAGACCAAATATCATCCTCCGTCGTATCGCCAACATCCACGTCGTATGGACCAGCACCATGCATGAATTCCTGTTTGAAGGGGTCTGAAACAGGTCTGAAACAATATGGCAGCAACAAGTCATGCCGACGCGGCCGACCAACGACCCATGCTATGCGAACCTCCAACCGCAGGAGGCAAAGACAAGCAACCCAACAGGAAAATAGGGCCACCTGTATATTGGACAGGAGTGCCCCGGAACGCCCCGGAAATCCAAAGGCTTCCACGAGATGAGCTAGAAGCATGATGGCCCCGAACCATGTCGTAGCGCACACATCCACCAAATCATCTTTCTAGTACCTTTGTGCCATGACATAAAGGTTAGATAATTTGCAAAAGCCTGTGTAATTCGGTGCCATTGCGGCCGCAATTCAGCGTTCCGAATTGCGTCCCAAAAGGCACTGAATTCGAAATTCTCACGGAATTGCTTGGTTGCACAGTAATGGATGGCCGAATATTATCAACTTGATAAAACATTTTTATATCTATATCTATTACTATATCTAGATTTAGTTTGAAATAAAGATATAAGAAGTAAGAATATATTATATATATACAAAGTTTTTGGTTTAAATATATATATATCTATCTATCAATCTATATTGAAACAGAAAGACAGATAGATAGATAGATAGATGGATCGGTAGATCGGTGTAGAGACACATCATCCCTCCCACATGTCTTCTACAGTGTCAATCTGGCTTCAATTTGGCTTCAAGCCCGTTTTTTCTGGCTTCTGAGGGCAGGATCCAAAAGCACACGCGGATTCACCAGCACTACTGCATTCATTTTTGGGGGTCTGAAACAGGTCTGAAACAATGTGGCAATGACAATTCATGCCCACATGCGAACGTCCAACCCCAGGAGGCAAAGAGGAGCTACCCTACAAGAAAACTGACCGTTCGAAAAGGTCTGCCCCGGAAATCAAAGGGCTTCCACGAGATAGGCCACAAGCATCATGGCCCCGAATGTATAAACATCCACCATATTATCTATCTAGTACCTTTGCGCCATGACGTAAGAAGCAATAATTTGGAAAAGCCTGTGTAAGTCTGCGGCATTGATGGATGGCCGAATGTAAATGTGTATATATTTTTTTAATATACGTATACAAAAATATTCATATCTATATCATATCTCTATCTATATGTAAATAAAAAATAAATAAATACATATATAAATATATATATATATAAATATATATAAATATATATATAATTATATTTAAATATGTATATATATATACATATATCGCGATGTAAATACATATCACCCCCTTTTGAATTAGGGGGAGATGTTGTTTAACCACACCGTAGATCTAAGTGATGGATGGATGGATGGATAATACATCATGTTTTGCGCAGCCTCCATCTGGCTTCAAGTTGGCTTCAATCCCGTTTGGGAGGCTTCTGAGTGCAGGATCCAAAAGTACACGCGGATTCACAAACACCATGAATTCACTGTTTGGGGTCTGAAACAGATTGGTTGCATAGATGGATGCCCGAATATGTATGTGTATATTTATATTTATATATATATATATTTACATGTATAAATGTCTAAATATGTGTACACACACATATATATATATTGATATATATATATATATTGATATATATATATTAATATATATTGATACACATCATCGCCCTTTGCATTAGGGGGAGGAGTTGTTTACCAAACCGTAGTTGAAATTGTAAAAAAAAAAAGTTTTCCCTACAGTATGGCGCCATAAATGCAAAATTTGAAAACAACCAAATAAATACCCAACCTAAATATGACCACTATCAATTCAATTGGCCCCTGGCCACCAAAAACCGTCCCAATCAATTAACCGTGCCAGTTTGAACCGAACCGAACAGTAACCGAACCGATGGTGGCTGCAGTTAGGTTACTGGAAACCGAACTGAACCTAACCGTGGCCACCCTGTATATGTGAGATGGATATGGTGTAAAATCAACGGCCCGGCCCAATTCTTTGGGGATCAACATCAGAGCACCAGGCTTTTGACATAGCCATATGTTGATCTACCCTCTGGTAAACAAACATAGCTATTGAAAGTGGCAATTTATAGTTGATTTACCCATTAAAATGGTGATTTTCCAAAGTTACGTTAGTTTACCAGAAGGTAATCTATTTATTGTACATGCGTGTGGACGATGCATGAAAGCTATATAAAAAGCTGTGTACATATGCATCTATGTACATCTGCTGAGACCAACCGAGGTGATATTTATATCATCATGTGATACATATGCACACACATACACTTATACCCATATACATATATACATATGATATATATATATATATATCATATAGATTTAGATATAGATATACATGTATATATATAATATATATATATATTATATCTATATATATTATACATATATTATACATATACAATCATAGAATATCATATACAATACAGACATAGATATTAATACCAGGAGACTGAATTTCTAGTCCTGACACTGAGCACCAGGGCGGTCCCATCGCCACCAAGAAGGGAGCGCTTGCACGCCTTGGCACGACTGGATCCAACAAAACGGTTGCCTATGGCACGACTGGGGTTAAGCTGTTTGCACCACTTCAGGTGACAGTGAACCCCGAAAGAATTTGTGTGAAAACCACTTCAGGTGACGTTGAGCCCCCGAAAATGAGTGTGAAATACATTGAAATACCCTAAAGCATACCTAAGCATATGAAAGTTTGACTCCGAATCAGAATCATGGTCACAGAAACGCAAAAGGAAACAGCACAGCCTTGGACATAGCTCTCCCAAGATTTATTCCGGCCATTGACAAACTCTGGTGAAATTTGAAGGCCGAAATGACGTTGGTCATTCTTGGCAGACCTTACCATGTTGGGGGTTCCCAAGTATGAGCAACATCTAAATGTTCTACATTGGATAGACCCGCTGAAAGAAAAAAGTCTCCAAAACGAGATTATGGGTTGGACGGTTGACATTTTTCAATGTCAGCAGCACCAAATGGTTCATCGCTTCATCACACCAAAAAAGAAAAAATGTCATGTCATCCCCTTCTACTGGTTGATAAGGGCTTCTTATATCATCACAAACCAACTCGCCAACAATTTTTTTTCGCAGTGAAACCCCCAAATCACAGCCAAACACGGACTTCACGGACTTCCGTGCCCCCTTGCCCGGTGCTCTTGTGAAAGATTGCGTTTATTGGCAAACTGAAGTTTCACTCATTGTTATACACTACTGTGCATTGCTGAAACAAGCGAACTTTGCTTTGCACCTGATTTTTTTGATTGGGAAGCGCTGCAAAGGCATGCTTTTCAAAGGGTCCATGATCCCAGTGCTATGACAACCCCAACTAGGAATCTACCAATTCCACAAGGGCAGTATGTGTATACTTACAACTTGTCCTGCGGCAACCCCCAAAAAAATCAAGGTACGACTTCAACGCTCCCCAAATCGAAAAATGGGGGAGGGAACACGATGGGACTCACCCACGCGATTTGAGTACCCTATTTCACACAATCATTATGAAAATTGCCAAAAAAAATGTATCCAACAAGCAAATCCAAGTGGGGCCTAGGGTCCCACCCGCAACGCCCCGCACCTTCCAACATTGCTGGCGACAACAGCCTCCCAAGCAAAGGAAGCGGCTATGCTATGCATGTGTGCATTAGATTCAACACCATCAGTATTTACACTATTTACAGGTTAAAAAACTATTCGGAAACCAAAAAAGATTCTTCGGAAACCAAAAAGGATTCTTCGGAAACCAAGAATTATTCGGAAACCAAAAAACAATTCTTCGGACTAGTTACATGTCTTACACTACCTATGGTGTATACATGTCAAAACATGGGTTGTCTACATTACCAGAGATGCTGCCATTATGTGTATATATATATATATGCCCTGAGTTATTCATATATATATATATTATATTATATATATACAGTACAAAGCGCGCAAAGACAAATACATACTGATGCTACCATAAGAAAAAAGTGGATCTACCATGGGGATTACATGGACACTTAGTGATATAACATGGTATAACCATGTATAACCAGCAATCATGGAGATGTGATTGTGAATTGACCCTTGACCCAGTACATATGGATATCTCTGGTAAACTATGGTAGAAGTTTACAGTTCGCGAACTGGAAAATCACCATCTTTAAGAACGGTAAATCAATGAACGAAATCTGCAATTTTCAATGTCGCAAACTGTTAGTCATTACCAAAGGGTAATCCCATGGTCATCCTCAGTACTGGACCCTGACACAAAGAACGGCTGCCTTGTGGATGTGCGTCCAGAATATGTTATGCTTTGATGCATACCCAAATGGGAACAATAAATGTACATGTGTGGAAATTCAAAACATCACAACAAACATTTTATGAGGATATCATGGGGGTATATCCTGGGTATATGCTCGATATTCTACCAAACTGAATTCTATTTGCCCTTAGGTAAAAACAAGGACAGTCCGCATGCAAAACAACAATGGTTTCTCCTAGAAACTGATCAAATGATGGATGGCCTTGTTTTCCATGTTTTTTTTACTGGAAAAAATAACAAAATGTAGCAAAGGTTATGGCCGGTCTCTAGGGAATATGTTGGGGGTCAAGCATCAACAATCATCAACCAACTATAGCAGTATAACCAACTATAATCCAGTCTATGGAAACTTTAAAAAGTCATATATTATATCATATGTCCAAGTGCACAACATCATCTTCCAGACATGGCTGGATTCCACGTTTTAGGGAGCGCAAGCGTAACGAATTTATGACAAATGACAATAAACAATAAACGCTCATTGCGGCAGCCGCTTCTTTGGCTAGAATCAAGATTTTGTGAGACATCAGAACAAGAGAATCAAAGTCCAGTTTCAAACAACTGGATTTGAAGAACTAGAGATATACGTGAGCACATTCCCAGGGTCTGTTCAGCACTGCTCTGGTAACTCCACTATCCCTTCAGAAAATGACCATTGGCAAACCATCACTGTTCAGCCCAAGCAGGCCTCCAGGTTGGGCTATCCATCTACCCTCTGGTTATTTAACATAGCTATGGTAAAGATGGCCCATTTATGGATGATTCATGACGATTTACCTATTAAAAATGGTGTTTTTCCATGGCTACGTTAAATAACCAGAGGGTAAATCATGAAGTTCCATTGAAAGGCCAGGTGTATGCAGTGCATTCCTTCGCAAGTGATCCGCTTGGCCGTGCGGTGACGTCACAACGGCTTCCCCAGATTCCTCGTTGAGCTGGCTGTGGCCCCAAGGCAAAACAGGAATGGCAGGAAATTCAACTGGGAACTGGATTTAAGTCCCACTTCCACCTGCAAGCAACAAGGGCATGGCAGGGGTGTCTGTCGCGTGATCCTTGGCTGCGCTAACGTTGACAAGAAAACGTACAACTTCGAGGTGGCCATTGCAATCTGCACCCGACAAGGGCGTGGCACCAGTGCTATCTGCTTGATCTTTGGCTGCACCATCTTCAACTAAGAAGCGGACAATGCCAAGGTGGCCATTTTGAGCTGCATACAACAAGGGCGTTCTACCATCGTTATCTGCCTGATCTTTGGCTGCACCATCTTCAACTAAGAAGCGGACTATGTCAAGATGGCCATTGTGAGCTGCATACAACAAAGGCGTTCCACCATCGCTATATGCTTGATCTTTGGCTGCACCATCTTCAACTAAGAAGCGGACAATGCCAAGGTGGCCATTTTTAGCTGCATACAACAAGGGCGTTCCACCATCGCTATCTGCCTGATCTTTGGCTGCACCATTTTCGACTAAGAAGCGGACAATGCTAAGGTGGCCATTTTGAGCTGCAAGCAACGAGGGCGTTACACCATCGTTATCTGCCTGATCTTTGGCTGCACCATTTTCGACTAAGAAGCGGACTATGTCAAGATGGCCATTGTGAGCTGCATACAACAAGGGCGTTCCACCATCGTTATCTGCCTGATCTTTGGCTGCACCATTTTCGACTAAGAAGCGGACTATGTCAAGATGGCCATTGTGAGCTGCATACAACAATGGTCTTACACCATTTTTATCGGCTTGATCTTTGGCTGCACCATTTTCGGCTAAGAGGCGGACAATGTCAAGGTGGCCATTTTGAGCTGCATACAACAAGGGCGTTACACCATCGTTATCTGCCTGATCTTTGGCTGCACCATTTTCGACTAAGAAGCGGACAATGTCAAGATGGCCATTGTGAGCTGCATACAACAAGAGCGTTCCACCATCGTTATCTGCCTGATCTTTGGCTGCACCATTTTCGACTAAGAAGCGGACTATGTCAAGATGGCCATTGTGAGCTGCATACAACAATGGTCTTACACCATTTTTATCGGCTTGATCTTTGGCTGCACCATTTTCGGCTAAGAGGCGGACAATGTCAAGGTGGCCAGTTTGAGCTGCAAGCAACAAGGGCGTTCCACCATCGTTATCTGCTTGATCTTTGGCTGAACCATTTTCAACTAAGAAGCGGACAATGCCAAGGTGGCCATTTTGAGCTGCATACAACAAGGGCGTGCCACCATCGTTATCTGCTTGATCCTTGGTTTCACCAACTTCGACCAGAAACCGGACTATGTCAAGGTGACCATTGTGAGCTGCAATCAACAATGGTCTTACACCATTTTTATCAGCGTGATCTTTGGCTGAACCATTTTCGGCTAAGAGACGGACAATGTCAAGGTGGCCTTTTTCAGCTGCAAGCAACAAGGGCGTTCTACCATCGTTATCTGCCTGATCTTTGGCTGCACCATCTTCAACTAAGAAGCGGACAATGCCAAGGTGGCCATTTTGAGCTGCATACAACAAGGGCGTTCCACCATCGTTATCTGCCTGATCTTTGGCTGCACCATTTTCGACTAAGAAGCGGACTATGTCAAGATGGCCATTGTGAGCTGCATACAACAAAGGCGTTCCACCATCGCTATATGCTTGATCTTTGGCTGCACCATCTTCAACTAAGAAGCGGACAATGCCAAGGTGGTCATTTTTAGCTGCATACAACAAGGGCGTTCCACCATGGTTATCTGCCTGATCTTTGGCTGCACCATTTTCGACTAAGAAGCGGACAATGTCAAGATGGCCATTGTGAGCTGCATACAACAAGGGCGTGCCACCATCGTTATCTGCTTGATCTTTAGTTGCACCAACTTCGACTAGAAACCGGACTATGTCAAGGTGGCCATTGTGAGCTGCAATTGACAATGGTCTTGCGCCATTTTCATCGGCTTGATCTTTGGCTGCACCATCTTCAACTAAGAAGCGGACAATGCCAAGGTGGCCATTTTGAGCTGCATACAACAAGAGTGTTCCACCATCGTTATCTGATTGATCTTTGGCTGAACCATTTTCAACCAAGAAGCGGACAATGTCAAGGTGGCCATTTAAAGCTGCATACAACAAGGGCGTGCCACCATTGTTATCTGCTTGATCTTTAGTTGCACCAACTTCGACTAGAAACCGGACTATGTCAAGGTGGCCATTGTGAGCTGCAATCGACAATGGTCTTACACCATTTTTATCGGCTTGATCTTTGGCTGCACCATGTCCGACTAAGAAGCGTACAGCGTCCAGGTGATCATTGCGAGCTGCAGCAAACAATGGTGTCCGCCCTCTGGCAAACTCTGGCTCATCTGTTTCGGCTCCCGCTTCCAGCAACAGTTCGATAGGTCGAACATGTCCCCGCACAGCAGCGTGAAACAGGGGTGTCTTGCCGTCTTTGTCTGCCTCATTGGGATTTCGGGGTTGTTGCAGCAACTTTTCAAGAGCAACTAAATCGTTGTCTCTAGATGCCAAGATCATTTTCTGTGTTTCTTCATCATCCGGTGGCCAGAATTCCAAGACCACCAGCTGGATCTTCAGTGGAACTGAATCTAGCACTTCATCATCCTGGATCTCCGAGCCACCTTCAACAAAAAATCGTTGCTTGAATCTGGAAATGCCAACAGTGGCTGCCAAGGCTTTCTTCGCTGCCTTGACCGTCTGGCCTTGCAATTCAACGTCCAGGACTGTGAGAGTCTCGCCCGATGTGAAGAAACACACCTCCATGGCTGCAAGAGCCAAGTGAAGTGCAGAACAAACAAATTGATTTCTGTCTCAGTTATTAGTTTCTCTATGTATATATATATATATTGTATATACTATATATATATCATATCATATCATATCATATCATATCATATTATAGTATATTGTATTACATCATACTAGTATTATATTATATTATATTATATTGTATTGTGTTATATTGTGTTGTATCATATTATACATGTATGTGTATATATATATGAATTTTATATATATATATATATGAATATTATATATATATATTAATATTATATATATATGAATATTATATTATATATATGAATATTATACATATATATGAATATTATATGTATATATATGAATATTATATATATATGAATATTATATATATATATGAATATTATATATATATGAATATTATATATATATATGTGAATATTATATATATGTGAATATTATATATATATATATGTGAATATTATATATATGTGTATATATATATATATATGCATATTATATATAGATACATATATTAATATATTATACATATGAATATTATATATATATGAATATTATTCATATATATATATATATATGAATATATACCTGTATGTTTATCTATCTTTCTTATCTTTATATGGTTCTATGGATTTATCTTTCCTGTGTTTCTTTCTTTCATTTTATGTGTATATTTACATATGTATCACATAATGGACAGAATGGATACACGCGGATAAGTAGTGTCACAACAGACCTACTAAAACAGCACATATGCAGACCAATCCTGTACAATAACAACTAATGCTGCACATTCGATAGTGCTTCTTTAACCTTTCCAGTCTGGACAGTCTCCAACTGCAGCAAATATCACAGGCGTTCATTCCACGAACAACAAGCTGGGTTGGGTATGGCTAGGTGATACCGATTTGGGATTTGGAAATAGCCAAACATGCAGCATCTTGATATCGAGCCACAGTGATTGGGGTAGAACTCACCAAACATCAGCATTCTGTCTGGTTCTTGTCGGTCCTCCAAGTGGGTCAAAGAATGCAGTGTTGTTTATGCTAACGCCGCCCGTAGAGACGCGGGGTTTTTTAATGTTTTTTTTACTGCGTTCTGCGTTCATACTTTTTGTGGGTTGTCTGGGTGGGGGGGTGGGGTGATGTTAATGTTCCTTGGAAGCGTTACGTGACATACGCTGGGGTTGGGGTGGGGGGGGGGGGGGA